AATGGTAATAATAATAATAATAATAGTAATAATAATAATAATAATAATAATAATAATAATAAAAATAACAGTAAAAATAATGATAGTTGATCTGTTACAATTATATTTGGAGATTTGTCAGATATTATGATAATTAGCTAAGCTCATTAAATCATTAAGAAAAAATAATTATGGCCTGAGGAGGATCAAGGAGGTCTAAGAGGAACAAAATAAATCAATCAGTATTCTAAACAAATATTTCAGAAAAGTTCTAAAAATACTGTAGCAGATGAATGTCTTCTTACAAAGAAAAATTTTTTCTATGATTCAGAAATATTATGAACTAGATATATCTAGGATCAAGTAGTTCCTAGAATACTGGCCTAGAACTAGATATATCTAGGATCAAGTAGTTCCTAGAATACTGGTCAAGAACTAGATATGTCTAGGATCAAGTTGTTCCTAGAATACTGGCCTAGAACTAGATATATCTAGGATCAAGTAGTTCCTAGAATACTGGTCAAGAACTAGATTTATCTAGGATCAAGTAGTTCATAGAATACTGGCCTAGAACTAGATTTATCTAGGATCAAGTAGTTTCTAGAATACAGGTCTAGAACTAGATATATCTAGGATCAAGTAGTTCCTAGAATACTGGTCTAGAACTAGATATATCTAGGATCAATTAGTTCCTAGAATACTGGTCTAGAACTAGATATATCTAGGATCAATTAGTTCCTAGAATACTGGTCTAGAACTAGATATATCTAGGATTAAGTAAATCCTAGAATACTGATCTAGAACTAGATATATCTAGGATTAAGTAAATCCTAGAATACTGATCTAGAACTAGATATATCTATAGAATATTGGTTTAGAACTAGACGTATCTAGGATTAGGTAAACCCTTGAATATTGGTTTAGAACTAGATATATCTAGGATTAAGTAAACCCTAGAAAATAGAACTAGATATATCTAGGATTAAGTAAACCCTAGAACTAGATCTACTGTGCATGATAAAGCTTGATAAAAACTATGTATGAGCAGTGAGCACATGTAGTAGTGGTATAAGAACCAGGATTCCTTGTCGTTCTAACTAATCAATGAGAACAAAAAGGTTGGCAGTTCCTCCCGCTTAAATCAATATTAGTTACACCAACTTCTTATAGAGCAGAGAATACAAATCGGTTTGAGTTTTTATTATATAATCTAGAAGTAAAACACACTTTTTATGATTATAAAATAATTCCTCTTTAGAATTTTTTTTTACATTATTACTCATGTAATGTACTTATGTTCTTAATAACTCTTAATTAGAGAAAGTTGTCGTTTTCAATCCTAATATGCACAGTTTGCTTTTCTTGTTCCTTGAATTAAAATCAAAACTAGAAGAGTTATTAGGTCCCACAGTCATACCAGTAAATCTACAAAAAACTAACGTCTTCCAGATGTGTTATATTGGAGTTTTATCTTTACTGTTCTAAGATACTACCAGAGAATAAAGCAGCTGCCTGTATTAGACTGAACCTACCTGTCTACGAAGTCTATCTGGAGAAGCAGATATTGTTCTTGATCTATTCGGAGATACTGAGGAGGACTTTCCTCGTCCTGTTTTCCGGGGTAGAGTAGTGGGACGTCTAGATATAGTTACTTAATTATATATTTACTAGCTTGAGAACCTAGCGTTACCCAGGGTACTCATAGTTACTTAATTATATATTTACTAGCTTGAGAACCTAGCGTTACCCAGGGTACTCATAGTTACTTAATTATATATTTACTAGCTTGAGAACCTAGCGTTACCCAGGGTACTTATAGTTACTCCCGCGGTTTACCCGCGCCTATAAAAACCACTGAGAACCAAACAAAGAACATTTCCGTATTTCAGACAAACAGAGATTACAACTTTGCTACCTGGAGCTGTAGTGCTCAAAAGTTCAAATCATTGGAAATTTTTGGCCCTGCCTCTATGGAAAGATGAAGTTGTAACGTACCCACTTCCTGTCACGGCCCTGCTTCGTTTGACAGATCAAATTGTACCGTTACGGCCACTTCCTGTTTGTTCCCTGCCTCTAGTGGCAGAGGAAACTGTACCGTACCAACTTCTTGTCTCGGCCCTGCCTCTAGTGACAGACAAAGTTGTACCGTATACCCACTCCCTGTTTTGGCTCTGTCTATACTGACAAGAGTTTTACTTGTACCGTGAGTACCTCCGTACTAACTATCTGCTTTCCTAACTAAATACCTACATTCTTACATAAATATACACCTTCTCACTAAACTACCTTCCTATCTAAATACCCCTCGTCCTAACCAACTACTTTCCTTCCTACCTGACTACCTACCTTGCTAACTACCTTTAACTTTCTTCTTATCCATCTAAATTCCTACATACTGTTCTACCTATCTTCATAACTACATACCTACTTTACAACCTACTTGGATTCTAAATAACTAAATTTCTATGACCCTTCAATTATTTACATTATTAGTTAAACAATCCCTTCTCCGAGATGTTCTAAAGTACTGATAGAACTGCACTCTCAAGCTTAATACAAATATGCATAACAAACACTTCAACTTTACAATCCAAACCTAAGCATCTAAACTTAATTACAGGAGTTAAATAAGAAGAAAACAGATGGCACTTAGTAGCGCAAAATTCAACAAAAAAAAACACAGTGAAATCTTGGTTTTAGGACAATTTTTACAAATATTTTGGTAATTTTAAAGAAAAAATACAAAACAAGCATGATTTTATACATAATGTTTAAGTATGTTGATTGTACAATTTTCTTTAAAAAATTGGCTTAATATACCGGGAAAACATCAGACAAAGGAACACCAAAATTAAATTGTAAAAACTATTTTTTTAAGGAAAGTATACAACGGTTCAAACAAGAAAAGAAACTGTGTTTGTCATGTTCACGACAAAAAACATAAATAAAATATATTTGCATAATATTATTGGAAGAAATATTCCTATTTATTCAGCTAATTGAAGCTCAGAAATAAATATATAACTCTCCGTCTCATCTATGTACAAACACCAAAAAATATCAAGAAAAAAATCTGTTTTTTTCTCACCTCTGCGGTTGAGGAGTGCCCGGAGATATGGAGTCTCGTCCACCCCGGAGTGAGTCCTGCCATCGAGGAGCACTATTTGTATACCCGGAGTCACGAAGTGTATTCTGCCACTTCGTCTTGACCGGAGCAGGATCCTTTGACCGGGTTGGAGTTGGTTCCTTGGTTCTACTCGGAGCAGATGATCTTCTTGCTGGAGGAGTTTTACCACGGGGTGGAGTAGTCTTTCTACCCAGAGTAGATTGGGACTCATTATTCTCCAGTTTTGAAGCGTGCATACAACAATCACTGAAATGAATTCATGAATTTAGAAAGCAAGCTTGGAATAATCTATAGTAGTCGGCGATTATATCAATACAGCGAAGACGACTTTTTATTAATAATGCTTAGCTTCCACAAGCATTTTTCAAATTACAAGTTTACAAGTAAACAAAGAGAAGCATTTAATTGACAATTTTTCTTTGTTTACTTGTTTATGTGTCTCTGCTGAAAGATTTGTAGAAATAGTAAAATTGTTATAAAAAGTCGTCTTCATTGTATTGATATGTACGACGACAGCTGAATCAAAATTTGTTACAAAAAAACAAACAAGAAGGGATTGGTGTGAAACTAGTTTTTTCCCAATTTGACACTTAGTTAGATTTAAAGTTTATCTAAATTGTAAGATGGTGTTAGTTTTTACAGGAACTGGAATTGAATAATTTATCCGTAAACTGAATCTGATTACTGATTAGCAAACATCTGTCTGGTATTTCAGAAATTACCAAATCTACATGTAAAAACATATCTAGAGTAAACTTGATGATAGTTTAACGGTCAATTTTTCTTGATTTATTACAAGTCTGGAGCCGTGGACTGGTTTTAAAATTCAGCTAAAACATAATAAAAAAATTGCAAAAATTGTTTTATAAATTATTCTGAAAATCGATTCAATCAGATTTCAACACCGTGTCTTGTGTATTTCAGGACCCACACGCTCATATTATAGAATACTAGATTTGTGGACTCTATGTTCAAAGGAGGATGCGGACTAAAGATTGAGGACGACGCACAAAGTGAAAAATACAGGGTGTCCCAAAAACAATGTGCCAGACATTGTAGCACTAGCTCACCATTATTTAATTTTTATTTTATCTATGGAATATTTTCAATCACTCGATATTAGATAATATGTAGTTGGATATTTTGGGTTTGGTTGAGTTTATTTTACCGTATGATAGAATTTCATTACGGTCGGAAAAAATGCAAATTTTGTATAATGCAATGTAGAAAATGAATGTCCTCGCTTTTTAGTATTGCAAAAGAAAAGACCAAAAAACGTTATGCCTGGTCTATTAATGGAGTTTGGGCGCTTTCACAATGCACAATGTGAGACAGTCTGCTTTTAGTCGATTATCATGAACTATCATTATATGTAATGATAATTAAATACTTTTAAAGGACTACTCACGTAATTTCAACTGAGCGTGACAAGTCTGATTCACAGCGATATCTTTAAACCTTATTCTGAAAATCGGGGAATGAGATATTTATATTTTGCTAGCTAACAAAATGCCAAGTGTCTTTGAGAAGTTTGAACGGAGTGTACAGTGTACAATTATACTATTGTTTCCTTTAACTCAACTTTTAGCTTGATTATAAAACAAAAGAATACCTTTGGGAATCTGACATGGCACTCACGACATATGGACAAAAGGTCCTTTTATATTACGCTACAGTTCCTTTGATATTACGCTGCAGTCCCTTTGATATTACGGTACAGTCCCTTTGATATTACGCTACAGTCCATTTGATATTACGCTACAGTCCCTTTGATATTACGCTACAGTCCCTTTGATATTACGCTACATTCCCTTTGATATTACGCTACAGTCCATTTGATATTACGCTATATTCCCTTAGATATTACGCTACAGTCCCTTTGATATTACGCTACAGTCCCTTTGATATTACGCTACAATCCCTTTGATATTACGCTACAGTCCCTTTGATATTGCGCTACAGTCCCATTGATACATAATGAATTATATCGTTTATTATGGGTCCATAATTTGGGAGTAAATTTTAAAAATCTAAAATATTCCAAATATGGGATCAAACCCAACCCTGTCATTTTATCCTGCTACCATAAACTACAGAGTAGCAGATGATTTATCTGAGATTTAAACACGTTTCAGACATCTGACAAGATTCTGGAAGATCATGACTACTGAATACCCTGCATTGGTTTAGGTAACATATGGACATGAAAACCCTCAAACACTTCAAACAAGAGAGAAGGAGACGGTCAATTTTTGCGACCGTCCTTGTTCAAGTTTGTGACCTCTAGTTTAAATTTTACTCACAAGTATATGAGAAAACCAGATTTATGTGGTTACATATTATAAATTCAAAACACTTTGTTCTTCTCGATAGTTGTTTAATAAGAGGAGTTGTGATTGAAAACGTGTGAGATTTCAATCATGATACGTTTAATTTACTTTATTTTTAGGTGCCAAGGATATCAAACATGACGATTTGTGTTTTGAGAATCGTGGCGTTTTAATTATTTAAAAAAGGTTTAATTACTCCTCGAATCAAATAGAAATATATAAATTTTCTGATAAATATTTAAGAATGTTTACAGCAAAATATTAGGATGTCAGAAAACAAAGTTTCATCAAGTCTGATGTTTAAATGTTTCAAATCACTCTTTTCTGTTTTTTTCTTAAAATATTTAATGGTTTCCTTTTTATTTAAATACTTTTTGTTGACAAATATTCACCAGGCGGGGGCTGACGCAAAACCTTGATTTGACGTTTATTATGCGTATTCTTGAGTTTACATGTATGCGCTAACCTGCTCACTGCATAGCTGGCATACTGCTTAGGTTTCCGTTCTCTCTTCAAGTATCCAGGTAAGGGTTTAGGTAGGGGAGCAGGAGGAGCTCCGTAGGTTCCCTCCTCATCTAGTGGATACAGGACTCCGCCAGACTTCTTCTTCTGTCTGCTCCTGTAGTCTTCGTAGTCCCCCATCTCCTCCGAGGGAATGTACATGTTGGGTAATGTCTCTGGGCTGCTGGGAAGGATGAATGAGTGATAATAATTCCCTCCGGAACACTCCCAACACACAAAACACTATACACAAGCAAAAAATAATTAGATAAGATAAATAAGAAATTAATTGTTTTATTGATTCTGTTTTGAGATTAAGGTCTTTAGGGTCCGAAATTAATGAATTTTTACTACCTACCGGTGGTTCAAATTTGAACCAGCAGTACGCAGCTCAAATTTATTAAATTCGGTATATGGACTGTTAAAAGATCCCACCAAAAGAGCGAAGGTGTGATCAGGTTCAGGCCTCAAAACAGACTGATCTTCACTCCCCGAACCCTAGTTTCTCGCCCACACACTCCTCACATACATACATCCATACATTCACGGTCTAAAAACCAAAACTCTCCCACACTTGGTTCATGTTCTTGCTGTGAAGCCTGAACCAGACACGGAGTAAATCCTTATTTTCCCCACTTCATTGTTGTTTGACAAATTAATCTTTCATGTTAGAAAATATCATTTGTTGACCATATTAGGGCAGACGTTTAAGTATTCTTTGGGAAATATCTACACAGAAACAAGATAAACTCTTTTCGCTCCCCCCTTCACTACCTTTGGATTATCAAACTGTTCCCAAAGAGTAATATGCAATAAAAGGTTACATTCACCTTTTTATAAATAGAATAGAAAATGATGCATGGCAGCCATGCTTTTTAAGGGTCTTCTTTTAATAAGTTTTCTTTTTCCTAATTCATTTTAATTCAGTCTGAAAGGATAAGGAAAGGATAAATAAAAAAGTCTCCCTGTAGCTAAATATAAAAAATGAATGATGCATATTGTAGTTGGGGCATTTTAGGGGCCACGTCTCCACATTGGACGTACTAAAACTGACGGATTTAGAAGAACGCACAACCGAAGATACTGTATGAAGGAAAAACTGAAGAAAATACAAAAAAGTTAGATATACTTAGAGGTTTATAAAATGATGCACTAAAATCAGCAATAAAAAATGAAAAAATAACTTTTTATTGAATTGTTTTTTATGCACTATTCGTAAATCTTCAAACAAAATCAATTAAAATGTTTCGCGGAATTTGCGTGTTTTCTATGTCATCATATGTAAAGTCAAATCTGACAAAAATGCTCCGCTTAATTCTTATAAACAAACATGGTATAGGATTTATCATTATCAGTGGGACACCACGTAGTTGTTATTAATATTCAATGTAGGTCTGTCTGTAGGTCTACACTACAGAGCCCCTCCCTGTATCTGGTGAAATTTATTCTAAGCTTTGCTGATAAACCTGGTATTGCCCCGATTAGATGAATTGACAAATATTTGAATGCTAGGCTTTGATGGCGTTCTGCTTTCTTTTCTTGTAGTAATTAAAGAGATGTAAAGGAAAAAATGAAAAGGGGTATAGGCTGAAAGCTAATCACTTTAGCTCTTGATCGCGACTCATGAAAGTTATATTTGATGTTGTTCCTGTCTCAAAAAATTGATATAAACTTGTGTCAAATTTATACGAAAATTCATATATATACAATTTTGTATAGAAATAGTAGATTTAAATAGATCATATTCAGCGAATACGCAACCAACTTGAAATTGAAGATATACCAGAGAAACCTAATTGTAACTTAGGTTTTCTCTAATTATTATTTTATAATTTTTATTTTTACTTTTAATAGATATAATTGATAATATTATTTATAAGTTCATATTACGTCACAAGAACTCCCACCTATGAGAGTCCAGTATACTGGTCATGTGATACAGACAGACACATGTGACCACTATTTATAAAGTTGTCATCTCTGTTTATTTGTTTGATGTCCGATCTTAACTCAGGAACCCTCGACTGATTTGCCTAAAATTTTGATTGGGGTACTTGGGATAACCAAGTAAATGTTCGTATCTTAGTTTTGTTATTCTAAATTTAGTGGGTCCACTTTTATAGGGAAAAATAGCTAAAATCTTAAATTACGACTAAGCGTGGGTAAACGGCGGTAGTAACTATGAGTACCCTCGCTAGGTTCTCAATCTAATATTTGTATAATAAAAAATATGCTTTGACTCCAATTAATTAAATCAATGTAATGTTCCTTCTTATAAAGCTTAGAGGTTTACTAAAAAAAATATATTACTAACGTGAGGACGGATTCCACAGAGACTAATAAATGTAACAATGCTATCTCAGTCAATTAATGTATATTTTCTGCAATTTTCCTGACTGCAACAGAAAGTCCACTGATGATTTTTGATGAAAAGTTGATGAAAACAAAACACTTTAAAACACTTTTTAACACTTTAAGCATTAAGTGCCTACTGCAATGCTTAGTACACTGAAGGAAGAAAAGTGGGTTTATTTAGCCAATAAACCCACAACAAACTTAACCAATTCGAAATAATTCGGTCAACTTTAACAAGACACTTTGGACTTTTCTTTATCCCAGAAATGAAGTTTAAGAGGACAGTGAGCTTAATTTCAAAAGACCTTCCATAGAGGGGCATATCCGATTTTCAACGATACCCTTTAAACCTTTGTCTAATCAAGGATTTCGTAGATATTATTATTTATACAGCGGGAAGTTAGTTGTCAAGAAACCGCGCAAGTGTACACTAGCACAAAGTGTACAGTGTACACTGTAACCTCGAGTCTTCCGGCACTCAATTTTCAGCTATAAGAATGAGGGTATCTACCTCTTCGTTGTCCGAACAAAGGTTAAAAGGGAATTGTTGTGAATCGGATATGCCTCTATATAAATGGAAGGTCACTTGAAATTGCGCATACAGTCCCTTTAATATATGTATTCACCAATCCAATTCATCCTTTTATTTATGGGAATTGAGTCTTTGCCACACACTCAAATTTTTTAATCCTAATATCTTTGCAGCCTATTGATGTAAACCTTTAATATTTCAAACTTTTATAATTTGTTCTAACAGAATTGATTGTTTGAAATATCCAAAGTCTACAACATTGGGTTGCAAGGATATAGGGATTAGAAAATCAGAGTGCAGTGTGGCGAAAATTAAATTCCTGCAAGGCATTTTTAACGCTGAAAAATTAAGTTCTTTTAAAAAATTTTAAAAATTGAGAACCATTTGACTGATTCCTTTTTTCTACATTCTGACCTGAAACCGTTAATTTTATCTTAAAATAAAGCTTTACCATGATATTGATAACTCTATGAATTGGTTTGGGATATAGCATTATAAAAGAATTTAATAAGAATGATTAATAGTTATGAAAATGAATTTAGGTCGGTTAGATGAGTTAGATTGAAAATGACCCAAAAGATGCAAGCGCGAAAAAAAACGAGAAAAATCGGAGAAACTATTCAAAGAATTTAAACCGCATTACTGATCTGCCATACACCGGTTCCAATTGAACGCCAGCTCAAATCTCGAAGCACTTACTTATTTCAAGTGGAACCAACCATGTTTGAACCACCTCTCATATTTGAGCCGCGGCTCAAAATCCTTAAATTCGGCTTCTGATTACTTATCTCATATTCTAATTTATAATCCATATCCCGCCATCCATTCCTTTGTTTAAAAACTTCAGCATTAAAAATATTTGAATGTTGCGTTTACAAAATATTTGAATGTTGCGTTTACAAAATATTTTAATGTTGCGTTTACAAAATATTTGAATGTTGCGTTTACAAAATATTTGAATGTTGCGTTTACAAAATATTTGAATGTTGCGTTTACAAAATATTTGAATGTTGCGTTTACAAAATATTTGAATGTTGCGTTTACAAAATATTTAAATGTTGCGTTTACAAAATATTTTAATGTTGCGTTTACAAAATATTTGAATGTTGCGTTTACAAAATATTTTAATGTTGCGTTTACAAAAACAGTGAAAATGAATTTTGTAAAATAAATCTTTAATGATTCTAATTTATAGCTAATCTACTGTCAGATTAGGTTTTCAAGGGTTAGAAAATTTGAGTTTGTGGCAAATACTGAGTTCCTTTCATGGATTTTTGTGGGTTGTCAATGTCAACTTGCCACCTCAAAAAATCTTTGAAATTGACAGATTATCAGAACCCAGCACTTCAAGAAAATTTTCTTTTCTCCGAACCTTCAATCATTTTTCAACTCTCCCTCCATTTATATTTCATAAAATAACATTCTTTTCATAAAAACTATTTCATTACAAAATTCTTTTCACAAAAATTACGAGATTAAAATTAAAGACATCTAAAAAAAACTTCGGAAAGATCTGATTCACATTGAATAGATGACTATGTGTATTATTCAGTAATCTTTAACTAAAACTTTTTCAAAAAATGTTGAAAGTGAAATATTAAAGGACTATTTGTTAAACCTTTATTTGATCAATAATGTGGAAAACATCATCTTTTTTCTAGCTTAAAAGCGTTTAATTCTGATAATTTTATCACAATGTTCCTGCAGGAGAAATGCGCAAGTTACCTTTAGAGAGAAACCGCAATTGAAAATTATGAACTTTTAGCCTTATTAGATATCTTTCAATCTTGATCAGACAAAGCTGTTAATGGTACCGTTGTGAATCAGGCGGGCAACTAAATTGATGGAGTTTATCGAAATAACGACTACACTCCCTTTTAATTTTTTTCATGTATTTTGTTTATATTTCTCTGGGTCTTATTTAACAAAAAATGAAAGAAAAATAAAGCGAATATAGTAAATATATCTATATAAATAACAGCAAAATGAACTCAATCATAATTTCTTATTTTTTCATTTTTTTACAAGAAATTTAGTTCATCATTAAATAAATTATTATAATTATTGTGGCCGGCACCATTTGCCATCCAAGTTTTCAAACCCAGGAATATTTGTTTAAATAGGGAACAGTCCCGTTAATTTACTCAGGAACATTAAACATTGATATATTTTAGTTGATAAATCTGAGGACTGGATGTCCCTCTAGTAACTGTTCGGTGGAGAGTAAACATTATTATTATTATGGTTTAGATAAACTGGATTTCTAAAACTATGAACTCCGACAGGTTCAAACTTTCTCAGGTTTTCTTCACTCCTGCTAGGTTCAGATAGACGTGGAGTAACCTTAATCCTTTTGGGATCACTATCCGGAGATAAAATCATGGTTCCAAGGTTCTCCGCACTTCTATACTGGCAGAAACCATTGGAGGAGGTTTCGTTCTCAATCCGGGAATAGGATTCAGGAAAATGTTTTGGACAAGGTCGTGAAGAGTAATCTGTACAGGGAACCTAGATATTGTTAGATTGGGTCAATACTGCATACCGAAGACGCTTAA